AGCATGTGCTGTTTGAATGCTCAGTCATTAGCATCTACGACGCATATTGACAAGTTTCGTGAGTTTTTTCATCGGAACTGCTATAATTTAATAGCGGCTACTGAGTCCTGGCTAAATGATGCGATTATAGATGCTCAAATTTCTTTGCCCTCTTATACCGTGCTACGTGTTGATCGTCGAGGCCGTGTTGGTGGTGGAGTTGCATTATTTGTTCGAGATGGGCTTTCTGCTCGGATACTAGCCTCTTCAATGACACTGCCTGGAGATGGAGTTCCAGAGTTTCTTATTGCTGAGGTTTGGAGCCTAGCAGGACCAAAACTATTAGTTGCTGTTGTCTATCGACCTCCTAGAGCAGGCTTTCTGGAGATTTTCTAGAATAAGCTGTCTAGCTACATTAAGAAGTATAAGTTTGTTTGTGTGATGGGTGATTTCAATGTTAACCTATTAACCCATGCTCAAGATTCAATGTCTTCAAGAATTTTTCGCATCACATGGACTTACGGTTGTACCTATGGAACGTTCGCATCACACAAAGACATTGGATACGTGGATAGACATCTGTGCAGTTAGTGACCTTTCTGTGTTAGCAGCTTGGGGGCAATCATCTCAACCTTTCTTGTCGGGGCATGATCTTCTTTACATGACTATTAATTATGAGGTGTTAAGTGGTAAAAAGAAAGATGTTACGTATAGGTCGCTTAAAAATGTGAGCTCTGATGTAGTGGAAGACTTTGTGCTTGCGTATGATACTTCGGTGTTTGACAATGAATTAATTATAGACTCCAAACTTGATGCCTTCAACCGGATGATTAGTGATTTGTTAGACTATGTAGCGCCAGCTAGAGTTATGACTGTTAAACGGCCTCCGATGCCGTGGTTAAATGCCGATCTACGGGCTTTAAAAAAGATAGAGATGCTTGTTATCGATCTGTAAAGCGCCATAACTCAGCATCGATGTTTGATAGGTACGTGTGTTTGCGTCGTGATTTCAAGAAAGAGCTTACTGCGGCGAAAGACTCTTATCTTAATTCGAAGTTTAAAGCGTTTGGAGGACGAAGCTCTTCTGGAGAGAATTTGATAGGCTGGGGCTAACAAAGAAGGGATCACAATCGCATGAAGGTCTGAGCTTGGATCCAATGGTACTAAATATGCACTTTGCGTCGGTGTCAGGAGGCGTGCCACTACCAAGTTTAAACGAGTCTTTAGCTGGTACTCATTTTGTGCCTATTGAAGATCAGTTTAGTCTGAACGAAACTAATTCATTTAGTGTTAAAAGTGCGATGAGTCGGATTTTGACGCATGCAAGGGGAGTGGACGGAGTGTCGATACAGGAATATAAAGCTTTGCTAAGTGGTCACTTGCCGTTTATTGTGATTTTGTTCAATTCTTCAATTGCTGATATCGTCCAATTGCGCTGCTTTGCTCATCATCAAAAGTGCTTGAAAGAATTGAATACGACCAAGTTGTTAAATACTTAGCTGATTGTAATCTATTAGATAACAGGCAAACTGGTTTTAAGGAAGGCATGGGGACGCAGACTGCCGTCTTGAGGCTAGCTGACGACATTAGGCTAGGAATAGAGCAAAAAGAAGTTACCATGGCTGTATTTTCTTATTTCACGAAGGCCTTCGATAGCGTCAATCATTTGTTATTAATTTCTAAGCTAGTTAGACTAGGTTTTTCCTATAATACAGTAAAATGGTTCTATTCCTACCTGAAGAATCGAAAGCAGTCAGTCTATACTGACAGTGGTAGATCAGAATGGGCTGATGTTAATGCTGGAGTCCCTCAGGGCAGTGTTTTGGGTCCTTTGCTCTTCTCGATGTTTATAAATGATCTATCTACATGTTTTAAATATTGTAACTATTTATTGTATGTGGATGATCTTGTTATCTACATGCGTTGTGGTATAGATGACTTGCGAGAATGTCTGAGATGTCTCAATGAAGACATTCGACATATTGTAAACTGGTGCTCGCCAAACAAGCTTTGTATTAATAGGTCAAAAACAAAAGCCATGTATTTCGAAAGCTCGATAAATGTTTGTAAAATTAACAATGTGAATGCGCATGATCTTAAGCTCTCTTTGGATAGTGACGCGGTTGAATTCGTTAGTTCATTTAAATATTTAGGTGTTGTTTTTGATAGCTTATTATCGTGGCATTGGCAGATAGCTAGTGTCAAGAAGCGCTGAGCAATTGCGTTGTATCGATTAAGAATGAATGACTCAAATCTTAGTGCTCAATTAAAACGAAAGCTGGTAACAGCACTTGTATTGCCTATTTTTGACTATTGTGCGTGTGTATTAACGAACTTAACATCTGAGCTTGAGAGATCATTGCTCGTCTCGCTAAATAATTTCGTTAGGTTTATTTTTCGAATAAAACGATATGAGCATAATACTGAGCATCGGCGGCGTCTTGATTGGCTAATGCCTCGTGATCGCCGATTACAGTTAATCTCATGCGAGTTCTACAAGGCTTTGTGCCTTATGAGGCCTGGTCTATTTGGAAATAAGCTAGAGCTGAAAACAAACATTGCTACGCGGCGAGATTCAAGTAAGACTGATACGCTAAAAGTGCCCTTTGCGAAAACAACGACGTATCAGCGTTCGTTTATTGTAACGGGCTGTAATTTTTGGAACTCGCTTCCAATTGAGATCACATCAGCTGCCACATTGGAGGAATTTCGCAATGTTTGTTTCCGGTTCTTGCAACGCTTGGAGCAAGTCAATGAGCATGAGTGAGTGTTAAATTTGAAAGATGCGGTTTGATGATGAGGTTTAAAAATGTCCTATAATTACTATTACTACTGCTATTGTTATTTTTGTTAATAACTTTTCTTTAAGTTTGCTATTATTATTACTAGTTTATGACATTGACTACTATTAAGTAAGTGTGTTTTTCTTATGACTACCTTTGTAACTTATGTAAGAAATATGGTCACAGAGATCTAAGCTCCATGACCGAGAAATAAATAAATAAATAAAATCAATACAATTGCCACCTCATCTACAAATCTTAACACCATTATAATTATTTGAGTGGACTTTAAAAAACTTACCAAATATTAATGTTAGGTTTTTGAACACTGAAGAGTATAAATTACTGAAAAAGAAATTAGAGGAACGCTTCAATAGTGCTAAACCAATACCTGCGACACAAAAATTTAATCAAATTACACCATTATTAAATTCTGTGGTAAAAGTTAAGTCTTTTTCTTCGTCGGATGAATCGACACAACATTGTACGGTTAAGAATTCAAGAAAACAATCGCTAAACCGAGGAAAATAATTAAAATATTTAGATTTTTAACGATGTAAAAACAATATTTTAATAAAAAATTTAATCCTTGCTCCTAATACACTTTACGGTTGTTTTTATCCAATTTTATTTAACTTCTGAGCTTTAAAAAACAATAAAAAAAAGCCACATTTAGATATTTTTTTATTTTCAATCGAAAGAAAAAAATAGAACGGAAAGTTGGCACAGAATGGGAATAGCGGGATTAAATACTGTCTTAGTTGAAGTTTTTTTTGAGACTAAAAATTGAGAATCGAAAGTTACGGACTTTGAAAAAATGACGGTTTTATTGGAAAAACTGAAATATTTCATAAATCGTGACTTCCGGAAAATTTTTTGAAATTTTTGTGACAACTGTTTATGTTAAAGCTTGGTTTATGTCATCTAATAGTGTAAGAGCTCCGTACCATGATCTACAATTTATGAAAGAGCTAAACAACTTTAAAGCGATTAACAGTAATCTTGCTATTGTAGCAATTAATAGATTTATAAATCATTTATGGTACTTATCGCCAAAGTTAGCGATCATGGCAATTTTTGATGAAGATGTTCCACTAGAAACAAAATTAATTATTGTGGCTAAGGTGCATACAGGAAAAGAAAAAATTCCAATCGATGCTATTTCGGAGGACGACCAGGATTATGCAAGTGAAAAATTTAGCGTAAAACGCTTTCAAAACCAGAGTATAATTGATTTATTGCATAACGATATCGACTTTTTTGTAACCGCAGAATCGATC